GCAGGGACTATGAAATTCACAATTTTTGTTCCCCTTCACCCATAGATGCTTTGTGCCAAAATTGGTTGAAATTGGTTCAGTGGTTTCAGAGAAGAAGCTGAAAATGTTCAAATGTTAACGCACGACGAACGACGACAGACGAAAACGGATAGCAATAGGTCACCTGAGTTTACTCAGGTGATCTAAAAAGACAGCATAGAACACTGCATCTCATAGGCAAAAAGGGCACCTGTTAATGAGATAATGAGATATATATAGAATAGACAGCATAGCACTCAAAATCTCATATGCAAAGAGGGCACCTGTTAATGAGATATATAGAATAAACAGCATAGAACACAGCATCTCATAGGCAAAAAGGGCACCTGTTAATGAGATATATAGAATAAACAGCATAGAACACAGCACCTCATAGGCAAAAAGGGCACCTGTTAATGAGATATATAGAATAAACAGCATAGAAACTGCATCTCATAAGCAAAGATGGCACCTGTTAATGAGATATATAGAATAAACAGCATAGAACACAGCATCTCATAGGCAAAAAGGGCACCTGTTAACAATCACAGGGACACATCAAGAAATCAAAAGGAATTAGCATGATAAAATTGAAAATATTCAGTGATATGAAAATATTTTAATTTTGATTCTGAGAGCTTTCATTCTTCATTATGTGAGACTTCTCTTTGCGATAAATCTACCATGGTCTTATCATGCAAAATACTTCCATGCTTTTAATTCTACTGCTGTTAATCTTAAGAGATTCCCACAATACTCACCTTCTTTCCTGCGTGGGTTTTTCTTGTCTTTGACTGCCTCCTCCAGGGTAGACATAATCTCCAGCTGTTTGAGGGCGGTGATTCCCAGCCCCCTCACCAGGCCCGCCAGGCCGTACGCTGCCCCCCTCCTCTCTCCGTAATTGTCAGACTCCAGGAGGAGGTGGAGAAGCTTCTGTACCAATTCTGGGGCATTCTGCTTAATTCCAGGCACCAAGGGAGGCAAGCAGTTAGCTACAGCTTCTTGAACCTTAACATTAAAGATCAGTATTAAAGACCAGTTAAGTAAAGTCTTTTTTTTAATTTTCAGCTTTAGCATATAAAATGCATGTATAGGAATAAATGTTAGATACACTACCTCCTGAGAAGGTGTGGACAATGCTCCAATCAGTTGAGCCACAATGGGTTTAATTTTGGGATTGTCTTTATCTAAATGTTTGGCCAGTGATCCCATGAGGATAACAATACTTTGTCGTACGGCATCAAAGCTGGCCGTGTCTGGTGCATTACTCAAACAGTCCTCAAACACAGGCAGAAGGATGTTCACATTCTCCTACAAAATACAAATTTTACTGAATCAATGCTGCAAATTTATACGAAGTAAGCAAGGAAATAATGTACATATTCCGCCAATAACCCCCATAAACTAAATAGGAGTAATAAGCCACAAATACATGCACATGTAAAAGATTTCTGTTACTGATAATTTACTAAAAAAAATTTCTATGTTTGTAGTATTCTGTAAAGTATTCTCATTGTACTCTCTATGACCCTATCTCAACAATATCCAAAGCTTCAGTATACATTGTACTTCAAATAATATCAGCCAATATATACGCATGATTTAAGTTCATTCTGAATTCTGTAGACCTACCTTTCCATGTGCTGTGACGGTTGCTAAGGCAGCATCTCTCATATGCGTCCTGACCTCTGGTGACCTGTCACCTAGGGCTTGAGGTACATAGAAGGAGAACAGATCCTGTATCTGGTCGGCAGGAAGAAGTGGAGAAATCTTCTCTAATGCCAGGGCTACCCCACTGCGACCCTCCCACTCGTCCAGGGGAGGTTCCCCGATCTGTCGTCCAAAGGAGTCCAGAACAGGAGGAGGCATCTGAAGGCAGAGAGGAAAACTTTTATTTTACTCTTGGAACTTATAATAACTGAAATAAGTTACATATACATAGTAAAACATACAACTCTGTAAGAAGAAAGTCAAGTTTAATACATCTTTGCATGCACTATATCTATACAGGACAGTGCATAGTGTTAAACTATAAAGATCAACCTGTTTGCTTGAATTTTTTTAAAATTGTGTCTGTTTAGAAAACATTTAAGCAAATAAAATGCTTTACATAGAGCTTGTCCTGGTATTTTTCCTTGAGTTGTTGGATGGTGGTGGTGATAAGTTCTGGGTGACAACTGATCGTTTTTTCCAGGGCCTTGGCTGCAGCCTTCCTCACTATTTCTTCTGGATGTATGACGTCATCAATCAAAGGTAGACACAGATCTTCATATGGCTCATCCAGCTGGAGCCTCTCTCGTAAGCTATGAGGAGTCCATTTAAAATTATGAAATACATGTACATGTATATACAAACAAGAATAAAATGCAGAATTTATGTTTATTACTGTGGAATCATCATTTGTGAAGAAGACAGTTTTCATTCCCAAACAATAAGTTGTACAATGTGTCTGTTCATTACATCTTATAAATGATTTACCCGACGGAGTAAAATATTGGTTCCAAATTATTCTTACTGATTACTTTTTTAAAACATCAGGAAGAAGTGATTTCCCTTCAGATAATTTTTAGTCTTACATTTCAGCTAGCTGCTTAATGTTGTCATCATCATCATAACTAACCACCCACACCCTCTGAGCGATTTGTAGCCCAAGGTCAAGGTCATCATCAATATTCGGCAGGACGTCTGACAGCCTTATAAGTCCCTGTAAAGGGCAGAGAATGAAAAATTAAATCAACGTTCAAAATATGAATGCATATTGAAAATTCTCTTTTCAACACTTATAAATGTTCTGAAATTCATCTGCCAATGTTTCAAATTTCAAAAGGAAATCATAGAATTTAAAAGAACTAATACCAGGAATTTTAATTTTCCTGACCCTTTGATAATATATATGTAAATTACCCTATCAATGTTCTTATATAAGAGACAGAATTGAACCATATTTTACCTGTAAAGCAGAATCTCTTGAAGTAGCAGATGGTAGCTTCAGAGCTTCCAGCAAAACCACAATGTCTTTCTCATCAGCTTTAGCACACCCCTCTTTCCCTGAAATGGAATCTGCCACCTCCACCAATGCAGTGCTGGCCAGTTGTTGAATCTTAGAGGAAGAGGTTGTTCCAATCACTTGGAGTAGGGTTCTCAGGATATCATGGTGAGGAAGTAATTCAGGGTTCGACTGAAAAGTGAAGAGTGCTGTATAGATGAAATGGACATAAACATGGTATCCTTAAATTGTTATAATTTTCTGTTAACTTTCAGAAAATAATATATACAATCACATGCATTTGATATAAATTAAAAATACATTCTAGTATATGTACAACTTCCATTTGTATTATTTATTCTAAATATCTTTGTTCTTTACATTCATTTATATTTGACATATGTCTTTTCATGCTAAGTTATATGTAATTTTCCTCTACAAATCATATATTGCCTTATTAATATTATGATAGAAACCCTCTAAAGCATTCATTGTACAAGAATGAGTATTTTAACAACAGATGCTAACGTAATTTCCAGACTTGGATTTCCTCATCTGAGCATGTTCGATGATCATCTTCAGACTCTGACACACTGTCAGTTCATTACCGCCCACTATCTCTCCCCCGTTACGTAGAATGACGGCCAGAAGGTAATAAATAAACACAAAAGTGGAGGCTTCAAACAGTTCAGTCTCTCTGTCTGGATCGGAGGCGTCTGGCACCGAGGTCTCACACAGGACCTGTACGATGTGAGTGGCTTGTTCTTTGACTGGAACTCGGATCCACTCCTCACTCAGTGGACAGGCTGGCTCCAACAGTCTCAGACCAGTGTTACTGACCTTTACACCTACAATAGAAACAGGTTTTTTTTTTTAAATTCCCTGCAACAACCTCTTTTTTGCTTCAAACAATTCACACCGTTTAAAATTATTTCTTTGTAAGATAAATATCTTTGAATATCCATGTACATTCTTTTCTCAGAACACAGAGACCAAAAAGCTGTTCTCTTTTTTTACTTTTTACATTACACTTTACATATGTAAACTTTGTCAATACTAACCCAGCATTTTGTCCTCAAATACTGCTTGCCCTAGACTGAGGTACACTTTGCTGGCTTCTGGGGCTCCCAAGGGGGACTTCAGTAGTGGTACCAGACACCCAGAGAGGGCCTTCATATAATCACAGGTAGCTTGACTGTTACCACGGAGACAATAAAATTTTGCATTTAAAAAAACATGAAAAAGTAAGACATTTTAAGAAAAAAGGAGCAAAACTTGAATGTCTAGTCTAATTTGTTACGCCTTGAATTTTTGACGTTTGTACGCTTAAAAGACGTATACAATAACGTCAGAAAAGTATATTTTGACGTTACATAATCAGCCCCAATTCTGTGCGCGACGTCCATGCGCTCCTTGTCATAATCGGGTAAACTGAAAAAAAAATCGTCGAAAATTCACCGTGAAAATATTAATCGAACAATTTGTATGAAAAATGTAACCACACACAACTTAATGATAGATAGATATTGCTATCCAGGTCATTATTTCAACAAGAGAATTTTCGAAAATCTGATTGGTTGATATTTTTGTTTCATCAACATTTTTCTCAGTAGTTTGCCTCGTTTTAGAAATTGATCGCATATAAAGCTTGTTCTTCCGTACAGGATCAGTTTAACTGATAAACTCTATATCAGGTGATAATGGTGAAAGGGAAGTTGAAAAAAGTCATAATGTTTATAAAAATATTTGGTTGATAGGTTAATTTAGCAGTTATCGTCTTTTTCTCGTAAAACATCCCAATATAAAACAAATGTGTCAGATCAGACTATGTGGTATCTTTTCTCTAGAGTTCACAAAAATATACATCGAATCAACAAAGTAATGAAAATAAAAATTGTTTTTAATATAAAAGTATATAAGACGTCATCATAAATTGAAAGTAACAACAGGATAATTCTCTTTTTTTTTAATGCAGATGCTTTTAAATGAATTCTGCTTGTTTTGATTACAAGATTCTCCCAATTTTAAATGTAAACTTCACTCACGAAAGTTGTGAGTTATTACTTATGGCAAAAACATTTATTTATTTCGAAGGGGAGTGTACAACATGTCAAGATCCTGTTTTTTTTTGCTAACAATAACCTCAACATGAGAGTACAATTATTGAATTCTAAGACATGATAAAAAATCTTCACTGGAAAATGATTCCAAGAAATCATGTCAGACAGATAACTTTCGAAAGGTGAACTGAAAGACTTAAAAGTCTAGTCTGTGTGCAAATTAAAAGTGTTATCATCAAATATACTCCAAATCGTATAAAACGATGCCTTTTCTTTCCTTAAATAAATGTGCGGATTTTAGGATGCTGTATTCTAGTAGAGAATAAACACATGTTAAGTTCAAGAATTTTCATGTCTCTGTTTCTAATGTACCAAAAGTCAGCGTTACGCTGTTACTCAAAACAACCTTATTTCCCGCTCCAGCATTTTGTAAAAAGCAATAAAGCGTCGATCCATTTAAATCTGACCGATATGAAAACACCGTAGGTTCAGTTTCATGAACAAAAACCCATTCTCCACAATTTGACGTATAAATTCCACTTCTATCGGGAAAATAGACGAATTCTGCAATTTTATGATCAGTTGAGTTGAAAATTTGAATTCCTACATCCTGAGCCGAATCGTTAGACTGATCTTTTGTAGCATTACAGCTGATCAGGACACCGGCAAAGGTTTCATTGCTCGTGATGTTAATCACGTGTTTGGTCGCTCTAACAGTAACAGCTGGCGGTGTCATTGGAGCTGAAATGATATGTAAAATGATTTTAACGATCATTGGTTACTAGAATGAAAAAAAAATACAAGTACTTACGGGTATATTTTATATACGTGTATTCAATTTGTACATCACACTTTTACTATCAAACCTGAATATTCCATTGATATATGGAGATCACCAAATTTCAAGATTGACATACAATACTTACCCTCATTGTCAGAATTGATATATTAACTTTTAACTATTGAAACAAAAATTTAAATTTATATAGTTAGTTAGCTTAAAGAATATTAATTTTTTTCTTTCAAAGTCATATAGACAATTCTTTTAATCATCATCGATTAATAAGGTGTCACATTACATAATAATCTTTTATTATTGATACTCAAACCTTTTATTAGGAAAAACCTTTGAATTTTCAATTTTATTTAAAATTAAATATTTAAAACTATGTTTTCTTGTGACTTTGAAATTATAATTTGACGCTTTACCTCTTTAAAAATCATAAGATAGAATCTTTACTGAACGCATACAAATCCACTGCATCTTGTAACTTAATTGTACGCATGTAGAATATATAAATACCCAATTTCACAAAGTTTATCATAAGATTATCAGTCTTTGTATCTCTTCATTTGTTTTTTTTCTTACCAATTATTGTAAAACTGGCGGTAGTATTGAAGAAATATCCATGTTTCATCTGCACGCTACAAACAAATTCAAACTGTCTAGATCCACAGCGTTCCGATGGAAACTCGGTTAAGTTAAAATTCACTGAAGCATTTATCCAAGAGGTATCTGCCTCAAATTTGGCAGTGAGAATACTGTCGTTGGTGTATATAACAGTATTGCCATTTTTAAGATAAACTGCTAGATTCTCTTGTCTGTCAGATTGTCTGAGATATACCTGCTCCCATTCACCACTTCTGATGTCAATTCTGCAAGTATGTTCAACCACTTTGCCAATTTCACCATATGAGTGATCCATTGCAACAACTGAAATAAAGAAGAATAGAACTGTTATCAAATGCTTTTATCTTTACCGATGCAAACGAAAGGGTACAATTGTGACTTTCATAAAATAGAAACATCTTTTATTGCAAACTATAATATGTACACAACATATAAATACGCTCATCAATACAAATGTCAATATTAAAACCATAGCTCTAATAACAAATTAAAAGTTATTTCAAAACCTTCAATTCGAAGCATTTGTATGATATTGGTACAAATGATAATTTGCTCAATTTTTTTTTAGATAAAGTACTGTTTATTAGGATTCTACACACTATAACTAATTCAAGTTAAATGTATATTTTCATTTACTAATGTTGCTTGCTAAATCTGGAATTGATCTTTTCATTGTATTATTTAGAATTGTTTCTTGAATAAAGAAAAAAAAAAGCATGCCATTTTTTCCCTCCAAAGTTATTTGTAAAAAGGTCTACTAATGTTCAAGTTTCTAATACTAGTATCATTAAATCAAAAAAAATTTTCTATGTAAAAATATCCCCCCCCCCATCTAGAAATACATGTACGAATAGTACTTGTACTAAAATATAAACATCTGTCAACGTGTTTTATGTAAGCTTTAAGCTCTTAATTTCCACCTGTAAAAATACTAGTTAAATAACTACAAACTATTAAACAGAATCTTTACTAAACACACATATAAAGTACCTGCAAATTGTTGAGGAGAGGTAGTAGTATACGTTAGGGTTACTGAACTATCAGAGACATTTACATTAGAGGCATTGGTAACAGAAGGAATAGTAGAACTAGAGACATTCAAATCTGGAAAATCTGTCTCGGTGGTGCTGTCATCTGAATATGGCTCGGTTGTGGTAATCTTATTGATTGAAGTTGGAGAAGTGGTCTCTGTATTCCAAGAAGAGGAAGTTCTGGAATCCGGAAGCTCTGATGTTACATCTGATGCATCTTTAGGAATGCTGGTAGTGGAAGTCGAGTCTTGAAAATCAAGTGTTGTGCTTTTACCTGTTTCAGTGGATGAATCCGTAAAGTTATTGGAATTACCAGAAGGAGAGTTGGTAGAAAATGTTGATGAACTTTGAGGAGATATCGCGGTAGAGGTTTGAGTGACTGCAGAAATGCTATCGTCCTGATGAGTTGACTCTGTTGAAGAAATAAGCATAGCTGTTGTAAATGAAGCAGTTGAACTACTGTCTTCAGAGTTATCATCCTCTGAAACCATATCTGTTGATATCGTCGATGAAATAAGAGAAATGTTTTCTGTTGATTCGCTTTCTGAAGTAGTTGTTTGAGCAATGACAGTTGTTACTTTTGACGAAGCCAATGATGAAGTATCTCCTTCTAAGTTTGTTTGTGTGGTAAAAGTTGTGACAGTGGTTTGAACAATTGGCACGTCGCTTAATGTAGTATCATCCTCAGTAGTTGTTGTTTCAGTAGAAGTATCTCCTTCTAAAGTTGTTGTTGGTGTGGTTAATGTTGATGCAGTGGGTCGGGCAGTTGACATGTTGCTTGCTGTAGTATCAGCCTGTGTAGTTGTTGATTCAATAGGCATAGAAACAGAGATACTACCGTCTCTCGTAGTGGTTATATTTTGTAAAACATTTGAGGTACTCTCCTCAGGGATTGTAGATGTTACAGTCGTTGTTTGGACGGTACTTGTTATCGAAGAAGGTGTGACAAATTGTGATTTTGATATTGCATTGGCATACTCAATTTGTTCTTGTCGACTTACTCCAACATCTAATGTTTCTATTTCAATTAACACGTTGAACACATTAGCGAATGTGACATTAGAACGTGCCCTGAAGTACTTGGACATTTCTGTTTTTACATTGTCCGAAGTCACGATGACTTTTGTGTAAAAGAACATTGAGAAGCTTACTATGATACTTCCATTCCTATTAAAAGAAGAAAAGTGTTATCCTTCCATGATGCATTTTTAAAATAACATATTTTGCAAAATCTGTCTTCAAGCTTTCTGTTGACAGTCGTGATTTTTTTTCTGCCTACTATAATTAAAATCCAAGAGGAAAACGAAATGTAATCAATCTAAAAAAATCAAAGGCCACAAAATATTGGCAACTGAAAATTCCAGCTGTTTGCTCGTGTATCAAGGAGTAGTTAGTACATCCTGTCGACAGATAAAATCGATCGGAGGAAAGTCATTGTTTTGATAAAAAAAATTATTAACATTAAGTAGTAATACTATTAGAAAAAGTAGGGTCTAAGAGTTAGAATGAAATACTTCTGAATAATTAGGACCCAATATGACAGGTTGGACTTCCTATCAAAATCATTTAACAACCACAGAACGAAATGCTGACTTTAAATGAATTTGAAAGACTGTACATAAAGTTTGTCAGAAGTCTGACAAAATTGACCGAAAAGAATGGAGGCATAGACATTAGATATATCAAATAATATCATTTTTCTTACAGTTTAATTGCTGTATTGTCCTTAACGTCAATGTCAGTAAAATATCCAAATAATGAAACAGATATGATATGGTTGCCTTTATTTCAAGTTCATTGGGATATATCTAGTCAAGAAAAGGATGGACGTTTACTGTTGTTGAGTGATAAAATTTTAAATAAAAATATTTGAAAAATGAGTGGAAGACCGTAGCACGTATTTATTTAATTTCACTCAGATCTACCATACCTAGTCACTGACATATAGTAAAAGAAACATGATATGTTCAAAAATACATTTTTCTTGTATTTTATGGATGAAATTTATAATCATCCTTTTGATAGTAAACATAATACTTGCAGCATATAAAATCCAATCTATAAAAATGGTTATTTTACAAACCGTATTTCTGTAACTAAACAGCCTTGGTAGTCATTGCTGTATTTATTTTTCTGTGTGTTCTCCATCTTTGAAAAATGTACAATAAATGATAGCCATTACTATGCAATTCATTGAGTTTACGCCTTAAACTATTCTCAAAAAGAAGCACAAAAATACAAGTACATTTACAGCTTAAAAAAAATTAATCGAAACAAAGAAAAATTGTTTTAGAAGTCCAATTCAAAATTTCCAAAATTTGAGGCAAGCGGAAAAGGTCAGGATAGAAGTACAGACTGTTTCATTCTTTTGCATGCATCAAAACAAAATTCATTTTGCACACATTTTCACACAATATGCAAGGTGTTTCTTAACAGTTTTTCATGAAAATGATTGTGCAAATGCAATATGCATTTCATATCATTTACTTTCATTTTATTCTACGTTTATTCTTGAACAATTAACTCAAAAATTGTTATCAATTGGATAAAAATAAGTATAATTATTAGAGAATATGTCAACTTATCAGGGTAATATTGATTGATGTTGATAATTACGAAATTCTTATTCTAATGATATGGATGTCTGTAGTAATTAATATTTTCAATATAATCTATTAATATTTTTACCGTATTGCAAAAGTCCTTCTGGAACTCTTTAGATGTCGTACTACTAAGGTTACCAAGTCTCTTATCGTATTGCCCCTGTAACCTCAATGTAGCTGTCGCCCTGTCTGAAATATCGGTATATTTCATTAGGCGTCATTTTCACTAAAAGGTTTCATGAATATATACTTGAATTAGAGATACAACAGGATTTTTCTTTGTCAAAAAGAGTTTAACATTTATTTCTCCCCTTTTACAACAAATGTCCGTACTTTGTGAAATATGAAATAAATATGCCAAACTTACAGTATTTGAATTGATCTGAAATAAAATAATAAAATATATAAGTATAAATATATATAACTAAAAATATTTAATGTGTCGAAATTTTGTGCTTTAAAAAATGGAGCATTTGAATTGAAACCCACTTGTAATTTAACACTAGAGGTACTGTGAGCAACGAGCTCACTGAATGATACCCCCGCCTCTGTCCCTGTTTTAATCTTGAAGACCCAAAAAGTGTCAGATCAAAAAGTGAAATAGGAGGTGCACACTGGCATTATGTAAAAAAGAATCTGTGAAAGTATCATTTTAAAAATATCAATTAGTGGTAAAAGAGGTGTTGCGGATAAGAGATAGGTACACCAAAGCGTAACAGATAGACGGACGGACAGACATCCCGATTACTATATGCCCTCCCGCTTTTTGCAACCGGGGGTATAAAAGTTCTACGTATAAATCATGAGTAAACATGCATTTTTGAAGAGAAACTTTAAAATTCATGCCTAGTGTACCTTCTTCTATTAGGTATAGGATGAGAGGAACACATGCAGCGCCCAGTAAAAGGATAACCAGAGATGTGGCCACCAAAGACCAGACAGCGCACCTGCTGGAGCAAGGCCCGGATTTCTGATCTGGTCCGGAAGTGGTGCTACGGCTGCTGCTGGCTTCTTTTTCTGAACTGGCTTCCTACAATCAAAGGCACATTTCAATCACTTTCCCACGTCTAATCAAGAATACATGATGGAATAATTTTGCAAGATACAGAAGGGGTATTTATGAATCACTTGGGTGTATATAAGATATAATCCTTACAATGTCATGGATGTGGAGCTCCCAAATCACAAAACCTTGCTATGATAAAAATTAAAAACCTCTCGTATACTAGTGATACTAGTGATAAAAGAAATACGTACACTTTCAGATAATTTTACTTTTGCCAAACACACCTATGGCACCTGATCCCACCTCTGATGTTTCGGAGGTTCGTGATTGCACTGCTCCTATTTTTGTGTTGTTTTATGGACTTTGAGATTGAATACTGTTCGTTATCTCCATATTTTTCCTAGATAAATTTGAGTCACAAAAGATTAATGTTGAATTCTTCACTTAAGAAATTTAATGAATATGTATTAGAATAATAACATTTTGTTTTCTAGTCAAATAAACTACTTTTCTCACTAAATATTAATGGTTAAACATAACAGTGATCACTTTTGTAAATCTGGGACAAATAAAACAAAGTAATGCAAATCATGAACAGCAGGAATAGCGCAGAAACACAAACATAAGAATTATTTTTTTACATTCAAACGTTTATTCAATTTGTGGCCTAACATGAGGCATAAAAATACACAGAAGAAATAAATCAACAATAAAAAGGTAATAAATGAATAGATTAACAACATATATATACAATATAAGAGGTAATGGAAGGAATTTCAATATTGAAATTCCTTCCATTACAATTTTACCATATTTTGCCAAGTCAATTAAGGTAAATTTATCATCACTGTTTAACAAATTAGCAAAACTATTAATGTTTTTCATTTTTTTTTTTTTAATTTTTCCTTTATCTTTGAATAAAATGCAATTAAAATATAGTGAAATTGATCTCAAGCCGAGCATATCTTTAAAACAAGACAGCATTCGAAATCGACCCAGCTGCAAATTATGCTTAACCTTATCCTTGCAACGGCGTTGCAGATGAAAAACAAGCATTCAAGGAGTTAATTCTGCAATAAAAATACAATACTAATGTTTGTTTGAATTTAGAAAAAAAATCATTGATGCGAATCGGATTAAGAATTGAAAACTTGATCTGTATATGTAAAGACTAACAAAGTGTGGGATAGACAAACATTAATCACAGGGGAGAAGATCTTTATCTCACCTCCTACCGATTTCACGGGTCGGGGATTGATAATATACAATGTAATACAATAGGAATGACAGTCCACCTTGCGTTTCTAAAATAACTTCGATGTAATAAATCTTCCTGAAGTTTATCATTGTAATTATCGTGCACATTTCAGTAGCAATTTTAACATACTTATGACACATTCAGTAATGAAATGCTATACATATATGCATACGTTGAGAGTCACATTGATGCGTCTCTCTTTCTAGAAAGGATAGATATAGAGCAAATTTGATCCATTTGTTTCGGCCTTTCGTAGTCCCGTTACCACGCAATAAAACATATGGAGATAATGAACAGTGCAGTGTCAAAATCTAATAAAAGACTTTAATACACAATTTATAAGTCATATGCCTTTTTAAAAAGAAAGGTTTTAACATTTTTCTTTAACTCATCGCAAACAGGATAAAAGCTAGAATTTCTATCAAATGTACACGAACACCTTTCAAAAATTAAAATTCTTTTACTCTCTTTGTTGTCGCTCTAGATTTCTTTCCATCATTGATCCTGGGAATGAAAATGGTGAAAATAAAAGTGATCGCCCTCAAAAATCTTTATCACAACAAATCTATGAAAATGGCACATAAATACGGACTCCCAGGAAACTCTTTAGGTAAGATCAGGTGCCTAAGAGGAGTAAGCATCCAATGATGAGCAGTCACACCTGCCGTGAGACTTGTGTATTGATCAGGTAAACGGAACCCTCTGCAGTCTAATTCAGTAAAAGCAATGGCCCTACAGTTGGTTTGAAACAAGTCAGCCAAAGTCATATTTTCAAGATCATTATAAAGACCACAGAATTTACGAAATGCTGACATAAGACAAGGTTGTTGAAATCCATGTAATATCAAATTATCTGTCGGTAGCCTGATCCAAAATTGTTTGTTCTCGGGGCAGGTATGAAAAGCATTACATATAAATGTAGGGTTGTTCAAATGTATGTACTACGCAAAATTTTTGACCTAAGTGAGCGTCGCGAGCTATAGACCTTTTGTTAAAATCCATAAAAATCACCCTTATGTGACCATATTTCTCAACTAAAATTCAATCATTTAGTGATTAAATTAAGGTTCATAATTTGAAAAAGATAACACTGGAAAGATATATCCGTCAGTATGAAGATAATAACTCAAAATTTACATAGCATGAACTTGTGTCTCGTTTTAACTTCCTGTAATGCAATCTATCTGACACTGAAGAACGTTGACGAATGAGAGATTGCCCCTGACAGCCTGTGAACGAGGGATGCGATACCCGTAGTTGTTAAATGATCCTACTAAAGACGACCTCGCCCTAATCTTACTGTCACAGATGAAAACTTACCAATAGACACTTCTAAAAATACATATACATTTACATTCACATTTTAAGTATCGGTTTGGTTAAATTTTCTTAATTCATAATCTTTTATATCTTATGATCAAAAATATTTAATCTTTTGATAAGCATCGACTGATATGATAAGATAGACTTTCTTTGAGAAACTTGATTAGTGTTAATATCTAAATTATTCTATATTTAGATCTTAGACTACTTGAAAAATAAATTATTCATGTAATCTTTTTCTACACTTTGTCAATTATCTGTCATGTCTTTAAGTTCGATTTTTTGACAACATTCGGTGATATTGTCCGATCCAACGAGAATTAAGTCTGAAAGTCTTAAGGCTACCTTATCTTCATTACCAGCAATGTTTCATTTCAACACCTATTGCCTATTCCAGTGGCTTTGCAACAAGCGCACCTATCTAGGGGGTGTCATTTTACCTACGATGTCTCTCCGATTTGTAGATTATCCAGTGTCTTTGTGTTGACTTCTATCTCAAAAATCAAGGATCGAAGAGTTTTTTAAAAAGGAAAAATAAAGAAAACACCCCTAAACAATATCATAACACATGATTCAATCGCATTGTATTTATTTTATGTTGTTAAAACGGCGATTAAATCTCAATGCATATTTTATATAATTCCTGCTATTTGTTGATACAGAAGTATATTTCCTATTGAGAAAATAAAATATGCATAAAATATATATTATTGGTGAATATCACAAAGAAGAAGGAACGTTTTAACTTAGAGTGGAGAAGAATATTACTGCATTGTTAGGAAAAATGTTCATTTCTTAGACACAATATTCTATATCAAATGTATTGAATTAAATACCGGGTATTTTTACTTCCTGTGCTCAACAATAATGCAAAAGCATATGGTGTCTTAAATATTGAATGGCTATTTGTGCCTTTAAAAAATCGATATATTCAAATGCATGTCGAAATCATAAAATAAACGTAGTGACTTTCACTTTAGAAGGCGGCAGGTAAATGGTTACACAAAGTACACTTACATTGAAATATTGGATCCACTGGGGAACATTAAATCCTCTGTCTTCTAATTCGAATATGTTTCTATTCGACATATTTGTCGCAGAATTCATAACAACCCGCAATAAGAGTTTCGTTCTCTTAACGCTTGAGTGAACGCCTTTGATTTTTTTAATCAATGTCTAACGCGAACGGGTATATTATGTAACAAAAAACCTGTTGCGTTTGTGGCATATTAATGTATGACATTGTATTGTAATATTTATTTAACTGATGGGCGAGGCTTTTCTGTTTTATTAAAGAAGGAAATAATAAAGAATATGTATGCTCATGTTCTAGAAGAATGTTTTTATTGTTTTGTTGAAAGATACCTTAAGGGGTGTTTTTAATATCCGAAACACTTTTGATTAAAAAAAATCATTAAGAAAAACTACACTTAATAATTTATAAAAATCAATTAAAAATAATTTTTGATATTGAGTGGAAAAATCTTAACTGAGAGTTTTTAAAGAATTGAATTATTTTGGTCAATTCTAGGAATCAAATTTCCTTTGCACACAAATACGCATAGATTTTATGGGAAAAAACAAAATATAATGTATGGTGCCTCTCTGCTTATTTTCTTCTAAATACCTTTCTTGATGACATGTATTTGATACATTTTACGGACATTTAAAGTCCAATTATGTAAGTGTTGCCTTCTACACCTTGCAAACAAAAATCCATTTTTAAAATGGTTTGCCCATTAATCAAATCAGTGTCCACTCTACTTGGACTATCGACAGAATCTACTGACCTGAAATTTATGCGAAACATGTTGTCCAAAAAAAAAAATCTTTTTGATCGAGCTGACGAAAAACTGGAAGAAATCGCTCGAAAAATCGACTGGAATCGAGTAAATTTCCAGTTCTTATATATTGAAAAGAAAATGTTTGTGATGAAAATGGAGCTGGACAAATTTCTCAAAGCAAGTAGTGACAACGAATTTTCGAGTATTTCAGACGAGTATTTCAGTTATCCCACGAATTAATTTTCTCAAGTTATATTTTGATGGAGGCAATGCGGGCCAACGAATGCAATCGTCGTCAAGTGCAAGCATTCATATTAGGACTAACTAAGCTAGCAATTGTAGGAGCCGAGATTGAGATTGCATACTACAGTGAAAAGCTTCCTACCTATATCTCGATGATCATACCTCAAATAAATACGATGCGTGTGGCCATGAAAAAATAGACGAATGAAGTCGCTACGAAAGACGCAAAAAAGATTCTTGCACGCAGCCGACGCAAATTAATGTACTTATAGCGAATGAGATTTTCTAAAAACTCATGGTAAAATTTTACTGGTGCAATTGGTTTGTTGCAGTCTATGGCGATATCAAAGAACATCACGTCTGGCTCTGCAACGAGACTGCCACCTCGATCTTACACTACACCGGGTTTAACTTGTTGCTGGCCTTAAAACAAGTTGCTGTCCTTTAAAAAAGGAAAAAAGTTTCAGGCAGCATCAGGATCGATAGAACATGTAGCAAGTACTCTTGTTTGGTGGTCATGAGGCGGTCATGAGGCTTATGACAGATGTTGCTACAAAGTTCTCCAAGAAAGACTTCTTAGTGAAAGAACAGAAAAAGCCTTACAGTTTGTTCCTCTTCCTCTAGTTAGTTTTGTTAATCTGCTTATCCTTTAGTAAATTTTTATATACATATAACATTTGGCTTTGTTTTTTAGCAGCCTCTGCTAAATTAAACACATCGCTTCAGGTATTGTTTATAAAATAATATACATTTAATTATTTACGAACAGGGCATTCGAAAAGCGCTAAATCAATCTTACGCATACTTGAAAATTCAAATTCCCACAAATATTACTCCTGCAAAATAAAGTGCATTTGATTTTGTTCCTTGCAATACAATGTAAAATTGTTAAGATGTAAAATACAAGATTTTTTTTAAAGTGCATCTCAAATGATAATGGATTTCACGGAGAGGTAGAATTGTACATGGTAGATGCTGAACTGTCTGTTGTAGTAGAAGGGTGCACTAGAGGATTTGGTAACTAAAGAAAATGTAGACCTCATATCTGAAAATTCTATCACAGTGGCGCTGTCATTCAACAAATTGCACGGTTATAGAAAACTTTCTGACGTGGTCTCTCTATTCAAGGAATAGGAAATAGTGGCATCTGTGTCCTATGCCCAGAAGTTGACAAAGAGGTTTAAATTGTATCCGTGACTTCTTCAGTGGAAGTGGTGAAATCTGGAAGCTCTGATGTTGCATCTGATGTTTCTTTTGGACTTTTGGTAGATGACACTGTGCCTTGGGTATCGAGTGTTGTGCTTGTGAAGGCACCACTGGTACTTGTTTCAGTGGATGAATCAATGAAATTATTGGTATCGCTTGAAGGAGAGCTGGTAGATGTTGATGAACCTTGAGGAGATGTAGTTGTTGGGATTTGAGTGACTGCAGAAGTGCTATCACTCTGATGAGTTGAATCAGATGACGAGATATCTGTTGTTGTAGTGAGTGAAGCAGCATAAGTACTGTCCTCTGAAGTATCATCCTCTGTTGTCATAATTGTTGATATCGTTGACGAAGTCAGTGAAATGCTTTCTGTTGCCTCGCTTTCTGAAGTTGTTGTTTGAACAATGTCTGTTGTTACTGTGGCCATTGACGAGGTATCTCCTGCTAAAGTTGTTGTTGTGGTCATTGTTGTTGCTGTGGGTTGAGAAGTTGAAGTGTCACTTACTGTAGTATCAGCCTGAGTGGTTGTTGTTGCAATAGTCGTAGAAGAGATGCTGCTTTCTGTCATAGTAGTATCATTCTGTAAAACACTGGATGTGCTATTCTCAGTTGTAGTTGGTACAGTCGTTGTTTGGACGTTAGATGTTATCGAAGAAGGTGTGACAAATTGCGATTTTGATATGGCATTGTCATACTCAGTTTGTTCTTGTCGACTTATTCTAACATCCAATGTTTCTATTTCCATTGACACCTTGAAGACATTAGCAAGGGTGACATTAGAGCGTGTCCTCAAGTACTCGGATATCTCTGTTTTTACATTTTCCGAAGTCACGATGTCTTTTGTGTAAAAGAACATTGAAAAGTGAACTATTATACTTCCATTCCTGTTAAAAGAAGAAAATTGTCATCCTTCCATGTTTTCAGTCCCCTACAAGTGAAACCGAAGGGGACTATAGGTTTTCTCTGAGTCTGTCAGTCCGTCTGTCTGTCTGTCTGTCCCTCCCTCTGTCTGTCAGTCTTTCCCACTTGGTTTTCCACACTGTTTTAAAAACGCTTGCAGATATTAAGCTGATCTTTGGTATGTGAGTGTACTTAATAGGTTACAGATCATTTTTAATTTCTTATCGCTTCATTGGTTTTTGACGGTATTATGGTATTTTAAATTTGTCATAACTGGGATTACGATCGGGTTCGTTATGCACTGAATTAAAGTTCAAAACGAGCTTGTTTCATAAAGAAAAAAAGGGGAACCCGGTAGGGAACATATTCTAGTATTGATTATGCAATACTCTCAGAATCTTGTTAAATTGTATAATTTTACAAATATGTCTTCAAACGTTCTGTTGACAATCTTGATTCTTTCTACTTTTTAAGTAAAATCCATTTAGAAAACGAACAGAAATCAATCTAAAAAATCACAGGGCATAAAATATTGACACCTGGAATTTCCAGATGTTTGATCAGAATGGAATATTTCTGTCAAATAAGACAAATGACAAGTTGGAATTCCCATCAAGATCATTTAACGACCTTCGAATTTACGAAATGCTGACTTTAAATTAAGTTGTTGAAAAACCTGTTAACATAAACTTTGTTAGCAGCCTGTTATTGGTGAAAAGTAAAATTGACCGAAAAGTACGGAGACATAGCCACCAAGTATATCTGATATTGGACAAATAAGGAAAGTCATCGATGGTAAAAGTTTAGGTCTTGATCTGTCCTTCTTGTCTTTTTCAGTAAAATGTCCAAATATGAAACAAATCTGGTTACCTTTACTTCAAGTTCATTGGGATATATCCAGTCAACAAATGGATTGAAGTAACTGTTATTGATTGATAAAATTAAGTATTTGAATAATGAGTTGAAGTATTTTTAAATCTTACTTAGCTCTACCATAATTACAGCTCAGCGCACTTTTTAAACTCACATGGTTTTTCGAACAAATTAAGGTAACATTTTTCTTGCAATAAAACTTATAATTATTGAGCTTCAGTGCGAGACATAATCCCTATTTAATCAAATATTTCATGTTAAAGGTGCATATTCTCTAAATTCATTATCTTACGTTTTAAAACTCGATGTATAAAAAGGGAATGTGTTTGTAAATTGCATGATGTTACATGTGTATGATTCTACCATAGGCATTCACAAATTAATTAATCGAGCTTTCCTTGATATATTTAGTTGAAACATTCAAATTGATTTTTTTATGGATGCATATTTTTCTAAGTATTATACACATTTTCCGTTCTTGTCTGGGTTTTGTCGAAATGCAGCGCCATAATATGACAAAACTGCACAAAGAAATCATGTCAAAGGATAGGAAAATAAAGTATTGTTTTTCTTTCAACATAGTAAATTGTTACTATTGAAAAGAAAAAATTTTTACATTTATGATCTGAAACTTTGAAATTTTAATGTACAGAAAATACAAAAGTTACATAAACGGCACATAAACTGCACTGTTTCTGTATTGCAAGGCAAAAGTTTACTTTAAAATGAACGGATACAAAGACGGCTGCATTTGAAGAGAAACCATAAAAAACCATATGGGAACTGTCATAATCCCTCATGCAAGAGCAAATAAAAATCATACTAATTATTAAGTGTAAATTATATTTAAAGTAATGGAATAAGATCAAAATAAGATCAAAATCAAGCTATAAAAATTTAAAATATATTTTGTTGTTACGTTACACAATTTTGCATTATAACAATGTGACCTTAATTTGTGCGGAAAACGATGTGAGTTTAAAATGTGCTTTGAGGTGTAGTCATTGACATATACATGTATTTAAAGAGGCGCAATATGTTCAAAAGTATATTTAGCCCTTATGGGTGTCTTTATAATTAGCCTGTAGTTTTAAACATGATATATATCCAGTTTATAAAAATGTTAAACTACAAACCGTATTTCTGTAACTAAACAGCCTTGGTAGTCATTGCTGTATCTATTTTTCTGTGTATTCCCCATCTGTAAAAATTGTACAATAAATGGAAGCAATTACTACGATTAATGCTGTACAAAAATAATAAACAATACAAAAGTTAAACTTTTTAGTAGAAAACTATACTGAACTAAACCAAGGTCTTTAATTAATAAGGTTTTCTATCCGTAATAGCAACAGATTGAATAAAATTAAATGCATAACAGATATGTAGGTGTTGAATACATAGTATATTTATACACAATTCCCATTAATTACTGTTAGCATGTAAGATTGGATGTGTCCTTTTCTATGACTTGAATTTTTGTAAGAATTATATCCCACTGTTTTAAATAATAAAAATCAATTTCACAAAACTTATTTTTTAAAAATCGCTTTTCCCCAAAGACTTCAATGCAATCTTTGTTAATTCGCTACCTGCTTAGTTAGATAATTATTAAAACTTTCCCTCCGTAAATAAGTTTCACCGCAGAGTTTTTAATTTTTTATTCAAATTTTCACAAAATGGGATTTGAAGTGAAAAATCTTTGTATAGATTAATAAGGATGGTTTCAGAGGGACAGAATTTTGAACACCACAGAAGGTTTATAAATTCCTTATATTCTAGAAAGTTTATATTTGCATCATTTGCAATGAAATTAGGCCAAAAAATATACAAAATTCCAGGCATCCATTTTTGTTTGTATCATCCGTCCTTAATTTAATATCAGAGTATTATGTACTATGTTATATGTTTGAAATATCCAATTCGAATTAATATTTGTAAATTTAAGGCAAACAGAAAAGGTAAGGGTAGAAGTACAGAATGTATCATTCTTTTGCAAGCACCAAAGCAAAATCCGTTTTGCAGATATTTTTACACAATATGCAATGTGTATCTTAACACTTTTTCATATAAAATGAAAATTGTTAAAATGCAATTGATATTCAGTAACATTTACTTTCTATTTATTCAACTTTCATCCTTGATAAACTCTAAAAATTGTTATCAATTGGATCAAAATAAATATTGATTATTTGAGAATATGTAAACCCATCAGGGTTGATTAATCATGACAACTCAGAAGTTCTGATTCCAATAATCTGGATATCAGTTGTGACTAATGATTTTCAGTGTTATTTATTTATATTTCATACCGTACTGCAAAAGTCCTTCTGGAACTCTTTAGATATAGTACTACTAAGGTTACCAAGTCTCTTATCGTATTGGCCCTGTAATCTCAATGTAGCTGTCGCCCTATCTGAAATATCAGTATTTTTCATTAGGCATTATTTTCCAATTAACTACATTGTATATCATAACTATGTACTTGAATCAGAGATACAACAGAGTTTTCTTATTGTAAAAAACAGCTTAACAATTTTTTTTTCTTTTTACAGTAATTGTCTGCACTTCGTGAAATACATGTATAAAATAAATATGCCAAACTTACAGTATTTAAATTGATCTGAAATAAAATAACAAAATATATAGATATAAAATATAACTAAACGAATTAAGATATGTCGAAATTATGTTTTTTTTTAAATGCAACATTTAAATTACAACCCAGTTATTATATTAAAAAATACTTATAAATCATGATCAAACTTTCATGTTTGAAGAGAAAGTAGAAAATCCACGCCTGGTTTACCTTCCTCCATTAAGTATAGGATAAGAGGAACACACGAAGCACCCAGTAAGAGGATGAATAGAGCTGTGGCCACGAAAGACCAAACAGCGCACCTGCTGGTGCAGGGCCCGGATCTTTGTTCTGACCCGGAAGTAGTGCTGCGGCTACTACTGGCTTCGTTTTCTGAACTGACCTCCTACAATGAAATACCGTATATGGAGAAAACGAAAAGTATTTAAGATCAAAAGTCCATAAAACAATACAAAATAGGAACACAGCAAACGCGGACCTCCGAAACATAAGAGATGAGATCAGGTGCCATGGAGGAGTGAGCATCCCCGGTCGGTCACACCCGCCGTTTGCTCCTTGTCAGGGGTATATAAATAAAGGTACATTTCAATCACTTTCACATGCTTTATTTAGGTTTAAAGGTTTAGTTTTATTATTTTTCAAGACAAAAAAGCGGTTGTCTAAGTCACTTTGGTGTACCCGGGCATATAAAACATAAAAAAAGAATAAAAACTTTCATGTTGGTGATACTGCTTATTTATCATAGGTCATTTTTTACTCTTTATTAAAAATCCGTTTTCGTCACTGATATTTTCACTAAACACTTTTAAACAAATATGAGACACATGAAACAAAAGATTTAAGTTGAATTCTTTATTTTACAAATATTAATGTAGATAGATGTTACAGTCAAACTATTTTGGTTTCTAGTCGATCAGATTATTTTTCTGCAGGTAAAAACAGGACAGCTACAACTTTCTCCTACGAGAAGAAAGCATAGTTACCATGTTCCAACCGCTGTGCAAAATACGCCTAACGAAAGGTTGTAGATGCAAATTAGGTAATTATAAACTATAAACAGGAAACAGATTTCGCATGACTAGAACTTTATCCCCTACAACTCCGATGCGAGGAGATGACAAGAATTCAAACCAATCTGCAAAGAATTCCCGACATTTGTTTTATTATTTTAATTCCGAAAAAGAATCATTGACGCAAATCGAGTTGAGAACTTGATTTTTATGCCTATAAACTAAAAGACTGTTGGACAAACAGATGAACAGACATACTTGACGAGTAAGAAGTCCTCCCACCCACTGATTTCATGGCGGACTAATTAAGTAAGGGATGACGTTACGATAGAAATGAGCGCTTACAGTCCACATTCCTTTCCTGAAATATACGATGTTATGAAATAATCCACAAGTGTATCACTGAAAGTGTATCACTATCGAGTACGTTTCAGTAGCGAAATGTAATGTTTATGTCACATTCAGTAATGAAATAATTAAAAATACACATGTATACGTTTGAGTTACATTGAGGCGTCTCTCTTTCTAGAAGGGGTGGATATAGAATAAATTTGATACATTTGTTTCGCCCTTTCGTAGACCCTTTACCACAGAATGAACACATTTAAATGTTGAAATTTGAAAATGCATTACATCGGCAAGCACTTATGCAACTCAATTAATTCGGACATAATGTGTTCGTACATATATATTTATTCAAAAAACCCTAGGCCTCAGTATGGAAATTTATTTATTGACCACATTATATATAAAGATATATATCAAACAGTGGATGAGAAAAATATCTTTGTCCTTATGAAATTTGGGAAACAGGCTAAAACAAAAAGAAACAATACATTGGATCTTTTAGTATTAGGAATTCTTGTTTGTAGAAATAGTTGTCTTGACTTCCTATGAATTCAAAGGAAACTAGTGCTAACTGTAACGGGAACCGTTACAGATGTTCCCCAAACGCTCCCCAACTCCTTTTTGGTGCCATATTCCCTGCAAGCTTCATTAAATAAGACAAACTCTGTGCATTTTTGACTTTAACAACGTTTTCTCAGAAGGATACCAATTATATTCAAATTTTAGCATTGCACCCGTGCGCATGTGAATGCATGTGCGTTATGACACTCATTCAAACGTATTTTTCATTTCACTCGTTCCAAATGCACGCACGTGCGTGCACGTGCATGATGACCATACCTTCTTGTAGGAGTCCCTTATATCTATCTATATTCTAAATCCCATCCTGTTTGGTTGAAAAACAAGGGAGTTATAGCCATTTCAAGTTTAAGCCAATCAGATTGCAGCACACGTGCATGCACGTGATTTCATGATTTTTTTTCTACATCATATTGTAGTATATCCTAATGCATGACTATGTTTTAAATTTCAAAGCATTTCGTCAAAAAACAAAGGAGATATAGCCATTTAAAGTTTCAGCCAATCAGATTGCAGCACGCGGGCATGCGCATGCTTTCATGAAAATTCTTATATATCACGCTGTAGATCTTCATAATGTAGGTCTATGTTCAAAATTTCAAAGGGTTATGACAAGAAACAAGAAAGATATTGAGACTTTAGTTTCAGCCAATCAGAGCGAAGCGCACGTGTATGCGCGTGAGATCTTACTTTTTTGACCATGTCATTTCGTCAAGCCTTCTAATATATACTTATAATATGAATTTCAAAGCATTTCATCAATAATTTTAATAGTTACGTCTGTATCAATTATATTCGACATTTCTCGTGTTGCACATGCGAGCTCTTGCAAGCACATGTGCATGCACATGCTTTCATGATAAATCTTATATTACAGGCTGTAGATCTCCCTAATGTATGACTATGTTCAAAATTTCAAATGATTTTATCAAAAAACAAAAAAGATATTGAGACTTTAGCTTCAGCCAATCAAAGCGAAATGCACGTGCATGCGTGTGCAATCTTGCTATTTTGACCATGTCATCTTGTGCATACTACTAATATATCCTTACATTATAAGTTTCAAAACATTTCGTCACAAAATAGAAAAGTTACGGTTATATCCATTATATATTGGTCATTTTAAGTTTTGCACGTGCGCGCTCTTGCAAGCACGTGCGCGCAAAATGACCTTGATTCCGCAAATCTACATAACATGCCTACTTACCCTAAAAAGGTTTCACCTAAGTCGGATGTGTAGTTTACAAGATCACTCGCAGAAAAGATTTTCCCAGGAAGAAAAATAATAAGAACTAGATGCGTTCTTGTTGCTAGGGCAACAAGTAGGTCTTCCGACCGACTTTTCTTTAGAGTTCTATGCTGCGTCATCCCATGAAATAGATTTCAGAATATATTTTTTCGTTTACGTTCATTTACAGTAGTTTCACAACACAGATCGTGATTGTTCCAGGTATTTCACAAAATATCTCCAAATATAGCTTTTAAAAATCGGCAAAATGTTCCACACATGTTATAAAAGAGTGAAAAGTAATTTGCAACTGAAAAAAAGACAAAAAGAAAGAAAAAATTGGGGAACGCCTCGAGCGGGATTCGAACCCCCGACAGTAAGACAAAGTTTGGTTCGGTCATATCTTTGCAATAAACAAACGCATGAAGAAAATGAAAACATATATAGATATCTTTGAAGACGCTCTATAAACCCTGTAAATCCGAAAGAAAAATATTGAAAAACAAAAAAGTTGTAAAAATGGACTTTTTGAATTCACTTCCGTTTGCGACCGGAAGTAGGAACGACAAAAAATGAAGGACGTTCGGCACATCTACATGTGATGTTCTTTCATGTCCATAAGTTTCAATGTCATATCTTTCGCCGTTTTCGAGAAAAGTAGTGTACAAAAATCCATTTAAAAAATACAAATTTCCCCAAAAATCGCGAACGGAAGAAAATTTTGAAAAAATGAAAAACACGTCTGGAGATATTAACCTGATGCATCTTTCCTGTAAAAATCTTTGAAATCCGTACAGTCACAACTGAGATATCTCCATAAAAATGAAAAAAAGAATAATAATAATAATAATAATAATAGGAAACCGACGGAAAACAATAAGGTCTTCCGAAGGAAGTCGGAAGACCTTAATAATAAGAATAATAATAATAAGAAACAGAGTAAAACAATATGTTCCCCAACTTCGTTTGGGGAACATAATAAGAAATAGTGATCTTAACCTAGTGATGACATTAAAATTTATGATTTGAAAAATTAAGTTGGGAAGATATATCCGTCAGTACAAAGTAAATAACTCAGAATGCACATCATGAACTTACAGTATTCTTGTTTTAACTTCCTGTAATGCAATCTATCTGACTTTGAAGAACGATGACGACTGTGACATAACCCCGGCTGCCTGTGAACGAGGGAAGTGATACCCTTAGTTGTTAAATGATCCTACCTTAAGCAGATCTCGCCCTGATCACACTGTCACAGATGAAAAGTTACCCGAATGTCTGTGAACAAGGGAAGTGATACCCGTATTTGTTAATTGATTCTACAGTGTAGTACCTAAGAACAACCTCGTCCTGTCCATACTAGCACAGATGAAAACTTACCAATAGGCATTTTTATAATAACTTTGAACAATTTTACTATCAAGTTTTACAAATCTGGTAGTTGAAATCAAGGCGATGTCCCTAATACTGTCCGACCTATTTAAGAAGAGGTAAAGGTATGCAAATATTTCGACGTTATGTTTAGGGATTGTATTATCAATTAATAGCCCACTCCAGTGGCTTTGCACAAAAAGAAGCATCTAGCAGGGTGTGATTTTCCTTAAAGGCACCCTTTTCCTGATTTGCAGATAACCAGTGTCTCTTTGTGCATTTTTTTTTAAATCAAAGATCTTATTTTTTTTTGTGAAAAAAGAAAATTTAAATTAAAACACCTCTTATAAAAAAGTTTATTATGATATGATTCGATAGCTTTGTTTTCTTTTTATATTTTAATCACAAGCATAATCGAAAATGAAGATTTAATTATTGTTAAAGAGAATTTTCT